TTGTCAAGAGAAGAATGTGTTCCGCACAGAACAGCGAGGAGAAAGACTCATTGCTGTTGCAGCTACCAATCCCACGGCGTCCAAGCGCCCGCTCCTAGGCAGCATAGCCTGTTTCGAAGCGAGCACTGAAGTCACCAATGACAACCAGTTTGTTCATCTTCTGCAAAGTTGCCAGGTTAACTTTTGGGTCTTCGTAGAACCCGTTCCTCATGTCATGGAAGTTGCTCATTGAGGATGCAAGAGGATGTATGTGCTGACGATGGTTGTCACTTTGTTTCCTCGGAGAGGCAGTCCTATGGTTGGAGACGGTCACTGACGCATTGCGGCAGGCAAGACAACCGTCTCACGGAGGCAGTCCTGATGGAAAAGGCGATTCCGGATTTTCGTCGTCCTGCCCTTGGGAGTCTACTCCAGAAGAAGCTGTAACCGACACCCACCTTTTCCATTTAGCCATGTCCGGAGAAAAGAATAGGTTTATTATAGCGCCCCTTGGGCACTGTCAGTCTCCTCTGAACTCAGTAAAAAAAACCTAAAACAAACTCATCCATTTCGACTGCACTTTGACTTCATTTGTCTTGGGTGTCTGTTTAGTCAAAAGAGCGTGAATTGAGAGTTTGTTTTAAGTTAAAAAAAAACCTGAGTTCTATGGAAAAATAACAACAAAATTTTTAAAAAAGAACGATATGTACAATATAAAAATTGAAGTGTGCAGTTTGGTAGTTTTCGAGGGCATGAATAATATGTCCTTCATGGAAATTTAGGAACGTCGATATCGGCCTAACCTTGAAATTATTTTCGACTTGAATATGTTTGGCTGTCCGCTAGTCTGTCAGTCTATCTGGCCAGCTGTTAAGGAGCAGTCAGACAAATCGTTCGTGTTTTTCAGGAGGCTTGCCATAGTTGTCTGGACTAAGAGGTGGAAAAGATGAATATATATCAGGAGTAAGAAGCATTCAATGATAAGTCACAATCAAAGCTGTCGAAATAATATTGAATCATGTATGTTATTGTTCTTGTGAATGTGACAGCGGGTCTTCCTGAAAACCGCAATGTCCGTTTTGTAGACGGTCGGTTCGTGGGCGACCGGAGGCGTCCTCCCTTCAGGACGGTTTACCATCGGATTGTATAAAACGGACAGAACATTCCAGGATGCCGGAATGACATGTGGGTTATCTCACTTGTCAGAAACTATTCTCGGAGTGTGGCCGCCGTGCTGAACGTAGCTTCGTGGGATCACAGGTGGCAGCTAGGTGCTGGGACCGAGCGAAACAGTGATATCCATCAGGACCAATCAGTAAGTTTGATGGGACTGTCGGTGAACTGCTAGTGTGCTGCTTCTTATCACCATACTTGAGCCTGCTCTACCCAGAGACGTTGACGTCGCCTACGCTACATCTTCCTGTTTAATAATTAGCGTTAAGGTGTGTGCGGCAGGTACGCTCGTCAGATCAAGGCTGTACAATTTTCATCTAAACACATCAATGAATCTGATTTGACTGCACAACTAAAAAGTGGGTCCCTGCTCACGGTAACCCGTACTCCCCGGTCGGGAATACTCAAAATAACGTGGAACTGTACTTTGCCGTCCTTTCCAGGTTGCAGAATGGAATGTAGTGCGATCCCGTTTTTGGGTCCTGGACCGTTAGAACGTAATCGTACCGCATTTTGTCCTGCAGTCAGAATACTGTAATAGACGTGTCCGGAATTGCACGACGCCTTTACATGACTTTTGACAATGTCACTCCCGTCTTCAGTAGCTTTACAGTTCATTAAGTCCGTGTGCGATCGGAAAATTTCAAAATGACATCCTGTCCGCTGTAAGAACAGTTGCTCGCAGCCGGAAACATTTGACGAATTGGATTCAACATAAGAAAAGGAGGCGTTCACCGGGAGAGGTTTATTGGCGGTCTGACGTTTCGAGTAGTTGTTTCGTCTACCTCCTTTTCTTTTCATTTACCACCTCGGAATCGCATTTTCACTACTATCGAGGATTCACTATGGTTGTTCATGTACTGAAAGATGTATTAACAGAAACCAGAAATACTGGTACGGTCGTTTCTGGCATGCTGGTCATCATCAGCCAACCATACCCAGTCCCAAGTCTTTGGAATACCTGAGATTCGAACCCAGGAACTTAGGTCACTGGGTCGAGTGCTCTATCATTGAGCCAGGGTTTCGCTGCCCTTTCAGTTGCGATCGAGAATATTAACTACGTTGGGATGGTATTCATCAACCGGCTTAAGGAACACGCCTGTCCCGTAGTGACTCGAGGCTCAATGACCAGGAGTGACTATGCCAATCTTCCTTACCTTGGAGCGTACTCCTTTCAGCATGTATTCATCGTCTCTATGTAATTGCTTTTCTGGCCCTGTATGGAGATTCAAGACACAACGGGACGTGCATGTTCGGTAAACCCGGGTGATGAGCGCAATTCCAACATTTCTAATATTCCCCGCCGTAACCGACAGGACAACGGGCCTGTGAGCCATTGGTAGATCATTCGACTCAATGACCATAAAGGTCACATTAAGAAGGAGCCGTTGCAGCCGGACTCTCAATTACACTGTCCGCCGCCTACCTTTTAGGCCACGACACTTAGCACGTCGTGACGAATTCAAGAGCATCTGATTCAGTTAATCGAGTAATGTCATGTGCCGTATGGATTTGTTCCCAAGTTTAGGTGTCACTCTTTCTTTCCATTTTCCTAATGCACATCTTGACTTTCCGAGCCCGTCAGTCGGCTAGTGATGGGACTGCACGCTGTGGCTGACAAGCGTAAGCAGCCCATCTACGCGTTTCGCATGCGACGTGGGTGCATGCACGAGGGTTTCATAAAGGCCACTGGGATACCAAATACACTTAAGTTCCATAAAGACCACATTACGAAGGAGCTATTTCAGACTAACTATCAGCCCTCTATCCACTCCAAGCGTTACACCCGCACACATACACACCTCATCACAACCGACTACGGCCACCTCGTGTCCCAGGGAGTGGGCGCAGCACCGGTGACTTGCGCGTAACTTTGTTTCCTGTCATGCAAATTTCTGCCACATCAACCACACTCTCACACCCTGACCCACCTTGCACAACCATCAGTGCCGCTGTCGCCTCCACCAAGGATAGTGACACCCGTAGTTCGGCCGTCGTTGCCGACAATGCACACTATGTGCTCCACAGATGGAGCAGGCACGGTGACTTGTGCGTGAATTAGTTTATAGTGAATGTAGACTTGCGCCGCATCAACCCCACTCTCTCCTCCTCCCCCACCTAGACCCGGTGTCCAGACAGAGTCAAGAAGACCGGTGGCGGGGCAGAGTGCCAATGGATGGCACGGTCGAGCCCGCATGTTGGCGCTCCACTCCACACCCCCGGTCAACACAGCAAACGACCAGGAGTTTAATCAACAACAACGGAAGGGGCTGACACGATCGAAATAGCACTTTGGCGTGCCGTCGCACCTGGCTCAGATCTCACGGAGTGGGACTGCAATAAATGCCACATTTTTATAAGGAGCCATTACAGCGGGCCTCTCAGACCACCATCTGACCAATCCACACAAACACACAAAACATTGACCGACTGCGAGTTCCAAGTTATTCCGTCAGTTGGCAAAATCCCAAGCCACGGTTTTTAGGGCACTGTGATAGCTTCAGGCGTTTTAAAATGTTAATAGTGAGGAAAATGCGTTAAGTCGTTGACCTCACTTTCTCTTCCCATTCTCATGCCCCAGTCACTGTCCGAGCGGGTCAGTTAACAAGTGCAGGGAATGGGCGCGGCCGCCGACATATCTAGTGACCATGTCTTCGCGCGCCACATACACGGCTTGGTCCCCCAAACACAAGCACCAGGATTTCACACAACGGGGATTGGGCAGCGTATCTCTCACATGCGTGAGAGTGCCGTGGAATGAGTTGTTTCAGTCTGGCCCCCAGCCCACTAGTCCGCCACTCCACACAAACAAACACAACTGGAAGGACAGCGTGAGCTGAGTTGGGACGTCAATCAGCAGCCTTCCATGCTGCGGTGCTTGACGTGTCGGGATAGTCTCAGACTCAGATCACACATGCAGCAGAGGAGCCGCATGTAGACGGATCCGAGACGCACACTTCCTACTTGCGTGGAAGGTGGCAGATGGATGCTTGTGGTGAGTGATAATGTTGTGTGATGCAGATGTTGGTGGGAGGAATGGTGGTGGTGTGGCGTGGCCGGCGGTTGTCTACCGCAGGTTTTCGTGAATGTGCACTTGGCCCTTCTTATGGGTGAATGTGCGGGCAGGTTGAGGCGAATGCGTCTAGTGTATGTAGGTTCTTCATGCAGTGGTTCGCCAGTCTCTGTGCGACGGATCTGCAAGTGACTGACCAGGCCGGTGTGTAAGGTGAAGATGCGAACGTAATGAGGACAGATATAGACGAAGCGATCATCGCTGGTGTTGACGGTGGTGGTGCTGGTCTGTCAGGATAGTGTGTAGCAGAAATGGTATTACCGACAAAGACAAGGGAGACTGGAATGGCCATTTCTGGCTTATTAGCCGTCGTCAGCCAGCCATACCCAAGCCCGAAGTGTGGAACACCCGAGCCTCGAACTCGCGACCTGTTGGTTTAGAAGTCAACGCCTCTACTAACCGGGCCACGAGCCCGTTGCCTTGTCGGTTTTCGATCGGGAATATACAATGGTAGGGGGCGCTCACCGACAAGGCAACGGGCTCGTGGCCCGGTGGGTAGAGGCGTGGACTTCTAAACCAACAGGGCGCGAGTTCGAGGCTCGGTGTTCCACACTTCGGGCTTGGGTATGGCTGGCTGACGACGGCTAATAAGCCAGAAATGGCCATTCCAGTCTCCCTTGTCTTTGTCGGTAATACCATTTCTGCCTATATATCATGCGCCGCTGTGCGGCTGCTGGTTGGGCTCGAGAGAGAGAGCCCGTAAGGCACAACGGAACGAGTGAGTTCCGTATGAACGATCGGTGAGCGCCCCCTACCATTATAGTGTGTAGCGTTGATGTGCAAGACCGGCGCCACAGCGGCAGACGTTGAGGCGGGTGGGGAGGAGGAGGAGGAGGAGGAGGAGGAGGAGGAGGAGGATGGTAGTAATGGTTGGCGAAGAAATCGCCTCGTCTTTGCATTTTATACTTGGATAAATGTTGTCTTTTGGTTTTAAAACAGTTTCTAATTACGAGATTTTTTAAGACCGTGCAATGTCCACTCATACAGCATCATACCCGTCCATTTATTAATACTCCTCATGAGTTATACAACACGGTCCGCATCCATTGCAAAATTCTATGATCTCTACACGGTGTCTTCTTAAAGGCGTACAGGAATATGTGATATTTCTCACGCGAAAAGTATGCACTTTTTAGAATTAAATCGCTAAACGTTAATGCATTGGCTGATCAAGCTCAAATTTATTTGGCAATTGGAAGATTCTTACAAAACCTTAAAATACCCTTTCTTCGTGTATAAAATATAAGGACAATGCGATTTCCTATCAAATGTATAAAAGGAAGCATATTTTCGCGCATATTCTGTGTAAACTATATTTGAATTTATACGGGTATCGAAAATCAGCATGGAAATGCATACTACTTAAGTATTCATTTTTTTCGGATGCAGTTCTTACAGGAGGTTGAAAGGAAGTGCACTCAAAAACCAGCATCCTGGCAAGTCCGAAATATCAGAGGATTAGGCCGCATGGCAATCAGGGTTAGAACCCCACCCAAGTAATCTTTCCTAATCGAAGACACTTTTCAGAATGTAGGCCAACATTTCATGAGATCAGTCACTCACTGTATTTCTCGTAAGGCGGTGGCTCTTGGTCTTGTTCTTTGGCTTGTTTGACCAGAAAAATTTAAACTGACGAGTAACTTTAGCGTCCCCTACAATGGCTGAAAATAAAAGAAGAATTTAAGGCACCTTTTACTCCTCTATAACGGGTGATCGTAAGAATTTTCCTACCAAAATGATCTCAGATTGCCTGCTTTTTCTGTAATTTGACTGGTGTCTGTCCTGAAAATAAGGAATATTCCTCCTGCTTCCCATCTTCGTGGTTGCTTTTCAACAGCGTTAGAAATTGTTGCACAAGACATAAAGCGCAGTCTTTAGCCATACTATACGAGAAGCTCTCTTTTGTTAGAATTACATACGTTTGTTTTGTTCTAAAATTGCCACTTTGTTCACTCCGAAATCCGCCTCACAGATCTCGCAAGACCCGTCACTTATCTTTTTCCAACCTCAGAATTTCCTCTTGTAATCAATGGCAGTCGATGGCACTTAAGTAGCTCGGCAAAGTTTGAGCACAGAATTCTATGAGTAGAAAGGAAATCTCGGAGCTTTCTATGCCTCCCATCTGATTTTATTCATTTTTGTTTTCACGGCAGCCATCAGAAGGTTGTCGTTGGCTCCTGCTAGCACCAGCCCCGCCTTGTCGCATCAACTACCCCGGTCTTGAAGGGGCTATGGCGGGGATGGGCGGGGCTATGGAAGGGGCCATGAGGGGGCTGGGGACGCCATAGCTCCCTATAGCACCGTCCTCGGAAAGAAACACGCAGGGGGCGCCACTCTGCATTATTAATCCCCACCCCCATTTACGATATTGGTTTTTTCCTGACTTCATTTCACGTAAAATACGCCGTACTGTTCCACATAGAAACGTGGAACATCGGAATCCCTAGGATTTGCGGAAAACAACCCAGCCATGTTTAGCACTTTCGGTGCGCTAACAAGTCCTACGCAACGCCAATTCTACCTGACAAAATAATGGCCGGCAATTAGATACATAAAATAACTTATCATATAACTTGTAAATTAGAAAATGGGTAAGGGAGTATGTACTGGGATCGTACTGTTCCTTCAATGAACATCATCTTAGTGGAAATCCTGATCCACGGCAGATTCCTGTAATACATAAAATCTCCCAGTTAGACGAGCATATCGGTTAGGTTTTCAATTTAAGCTTTCAGTCTGAGTGATACTTTTATTTCTAAAAATGTTCTAGGAGATGTATCGTTTAGATTGCTAACTGAAATTCTAAATTAATTTTAACAAGTCAGCTTTTCTCGTGGAAGAAATAACTTTAGGTCTAGAGTAAAAATGAAAGTAAATCAGATTAAAAATTTGTCACCTAATTAATTATCACAAAATGACTTTATAAATAAACTAAAAGTCTACCGGAGGTACGTCGGAAATAAGTAGCAAATAACACCTGTTTAGTATGTATACGGTTGATAAGAGTGAACCAACAAGAAGGATCAAGGAAGCAGGGCAAAATAAATTACTAAGCAACTAGGTACTAAACAGCTATTTAGCAATTTATTCCACGAATGCAAATATGTTACCTCAATTACATTTAATTATGCAATGATAATATTTCATAATGTACTGCTGCTAAAAGCATGCCTATTAAAGAATTACGGAACTCTATTTACTTATACCATAATGTAATTACGTTAACAACTTTCGATGAGCACATAAATGATAATCGTTCTGAAATGTCAGAAGTTGTTTCGTAGAGCATAAGTGGCCGGCACAAGTGGTCTCCAGGACAACCTTATTAAATTCGTTGTATTAATTCAGTGGAGAATTCTCTACCTGCTGAGCAGTGACACGGAGTTTAGCTTGTCCGCCGCAGCGATCTCTGGCTCTGTGGAACCACTCAGTCAGATATTAATGACGCTTACCATCTGATTGGTCGTCCGACGACAACTGACGTGCTTATCGGAACCCCTCAGTTTCCGCACAAATCCTTCCTTGCATTAATGCTGCACAAGTGTCCAATTACTCTTATAACCCTAATCGCGTTTATTCTTTCCTTGGGATACTCGAAAATCTTCATTTTAACTATAGTAGGTGTGCAAACTCATGAAATTTTATGAGTTACCACAAGAAAATCCCTATAACGTCTGCATTGTCTTTGAAAGTGTGTTTGCATTTCATTCAAATGGCCTTCACGGCCCTTCTTATTTCGTAATCATTCAGAACACTTTTCTTTTGGAATAGGCCACCGGTCGAAATCTTGGTCTAATTTATACAATAGGCTAAATACATCTCCTCGTGATAATTGCATTTCTACAAAGGCTGCACAGCTATGTAGATTCACGCTGGTTATGACCCTGCTGCGAAAAGTTAAACAGAGCATTGCTGCGTGCCTGATTTTACTATCCTTTCATAATGTTATGATTTATTCCGCCTCTGACAGTAGTGAAGCCTATGATGTTTAGATGTTCTTTACTCCAATTTTTTTCCACTTTGCTGAAAATAATAGTTTCGGTGGCCCATCCGACTCCTTAGGCACATCAAGCAATGATCACACCAAGTGTGACAATCCCGGATGAAGGGGGAAGCCGTGAACGTTCATAGGTATGCGGTAGCATGGCTGCTGCATCCTATAAATACCGCAGCCCCTTGTGCAACAACCACCCGTTTCTGCTCTTTTGTCTCTGATGATGGATTCGAGTAGGAATCCGAAACGTCAGGCTAATAAAGCTCTTGTCCCGGCGATCGTGTCTCCTTCTTCAAGTAAAGCTTTATATTTGGGTTTAACCCAGCCTATTGTTTTAAGGCCTCAAATGAGGGAAAGTTTTTGCATGACTTTACAGCTGTCCATAGGCTTTTCTCGTCGTAGCCAATTTATTTGTGACAGTAATTTCGAAATCTGCACACAGAAGGATCTAATCTCCTGAAGCCAAGCATAAACAACACGAAATCTAAGTCTGGATTAGAGACGAGAAATCAGAATCTAGGCGCGTCTATCACAAGATCCCACTGACTGATCCGAGTACTGATATGTGTCATACTTTCTTGGACAGAAGCATGTTTCTGCGAATGACTCGTGACGGTGGCCGTCTTTTGTCCATCGCCCAGAAAGCACATTTCTGGGACACTTCGTGCGTAGAGTATTGGCGATGGTAATGTGTTCTGAAGAAAGTTTCAGGAGTGTCCTCGAAACCACAAAATTCAGTCCTTAAGCAAGCCAGAAAATGTGATTGAGCACTTCTGAAAAGCAAACAGCATACTTATTACTTCAGAATTTTTGGGGGACGGGTTATTTCTTCAAAGCGAAGATTCCTCGGAAATTGTCACCTGGAACCATTGGTGCCTTGGACGTTCTGCTATGTAGTCGCACACACTTACTTTTTAAAATACTACGTTTAAGTATGTTGCATAATAATTGGTAAATCGTTTCATACACATAAAAATCATGAGATATAATTACTCCTTTGACATAACCCATCATAAATAAGTCTTCATTGTACCTGTGCTGTACTTGCTCAACGTGTAATAGCGTCACATATGTCACCCATTTTCCGTGACGTCAGTGGCATTCAGCACATGTAGCAGTCGCTAATGCGGTAAGCTGTCTAAGGTTTCGTGCAGTTCCATGTAAACTACATCCTTCTTAACAGCCTGTCATAAAAGTTCATTGCTTTTTGCCGTAAGATATACTCAAAGAAAGTATGAATTAATCCACTGTTTTATACACGGGGAAATTTCTCGTGGAAGGTAAAACATCTCAGGTTGCCAGTCAACAAACCATCCTAGTTTAAGCCACCCCACTTAAACCTTTAAGCAACCAAGACATTTGCTTATTTTGATCACATTAGAAAAGAGGGATCACTGAGACCCATCTCGGAAAGATGGTGAGGGATATCGTATTTGAACCTTGTAGTGACTTGCCCATCAAAGAGATGGAGTAAAAAAGTAACTGTAAATATCGGTTTTGATGGAGTTATCGGGACCAAACGCCAGCTTCAAGGGAAGACTAACGTTAAAACAGCGGAAAAGCCACACTCTCAGTCACAGTTTAAAACGCTGGCGCATTGACTTTGCTTGTCATCATGCCGGTATGTTTTGAAGTACGAGTCTGGAATCATAGCCTACGTAAGACTAAATAAATTAAGTTTATGTAATGGACATGCGTGGTAATCATTTTGCTATGCCTTTTATTTGCACACAACTTTTATATTCCGAATCTGCACATTTCCAAGACTTCTTCACCTTTCTTGGTTGTTCACGCATTCCGAAGACAGACTGCATGTAGCAGCCATGATCGTTGGTCAACTCAAGACCACCCTTCCTGCCACAAAAAACCCAGCGAACTTATTGGGTCATCTGCCCCTGGTGCCTCTTGGCGCTGGCGCGATACTGAGCTTTGGGCTGGACTTCAGCGCAGCCGAGTTTCTGCTTAGCACTATCCATCCACTATCAGGCGATATGTCCATCCCCAGTTTCTCACGGTGTCCGCGAGAATCCTGACAAATCAATGCGCCGTCTGCGATGATATATGCGTCCGCTGTCCCAGTTCTCGCTGACAATGCCACAAGTGTTTAGCCAAAAAACCCCTACCAATTACATTTATCTGGCCGTTTAGTGGGTCCTATGGGCAAGCCGCTGGAGTCTTCATATGAAGGAATTTCTCGAGTACTCTCTCGCCGGGTCCTTCGCGTTGTCAAAGAAGACCTGGTAATCGTTGACCGGGTCAGGGCTGTTGCCCCAGAGGAATCACCGGATCTTCTCCAAAGGAAAAAAGCATACTAAGTTCCTTCTCTCTGTCACTCCAGTGCCCCTAACATGTTATGCTCTTCCTATTGTCTATGATACTAACTTTTCCAGTGCTGCCGACATTCGCACAACTAATAGTGGTCGTCGAGTTTATTATGAAAAAAGTTCTTGTCACCCACCTGCTTAAAAATCACACTTTTGCATCGGCGTCGTTTTATGCCGGTCTTCGGTCTGTCAGGGAAGCATTGTAGTGATCACTCCTCTTACTCCTGTGTTCCGTTCTTTAAGCATTTTCCAGCACTGTCCTTACACAACTTTGTTTCCGTCGACAAAGACGTATCGCTGCTCGATATTCCTTGTCTTCCTCGACTGGCCGCAGCCTCTTAAAGTTCAGGCGGTTGAGCACACCTCATGTTGGTGCTACCAGCCTGAAGTAGCTTGAAAGCGGCTGTTGAGTAGAATTGCTGCCATTATCTGCTGTTCCGTGCGTACACTTTCTTGCCTCATTAAAGTTTGTCCAAATAACCCTGTCCTGTTTGACTTCTAATTTGACAAACCTCGAGTTGTCGACAACTACGCCTCGACTCATGCACAAGGGGGAAACTTCGAGAACGCTCTTTGCCTGATCGCTAACAGATTTGCAATCAGATGTTCATATTATCCTATCCGAAAAATCCGACGCTTGGAATAGGATGAGAACGATCTCAACAAAGTTATCTATCAGTTGAGACGACCAGCGCGCCTTCTCTAGCCGAAAATGAAGATAAGCACACTTCGAAGAAAAGTGATCATCTTCAGTATGGCGTGAAGTAGAAGAAAAATTCTTCCAAGGATATTCAAAGGCTTTTACGTGTGACCGGACTATTTGAAAGGCGAAGAACGTTTTATGTTCCATGAAATGTGACTGCGACCAGGACTGTTTTGACGAAGGAGTGGAGAGGCACACCAAGTGCCCAGCAAAACTTGCTCTTGTTATCACTCTTATCCCGCAGTAATTCAGATTAGCACCACTCACCGAGCAAACAGTCAAGTTTGCGTACTTTGACACATTGTACCAACTAGTAAGCATGGGCAGGTTGGCGTTTGTAGATTCTGACTACTCTTGATATCCATAAAGGTTAGTCGTCTACGACTCTGCTCATTCTGGCAGCCTGGAATGATGGTTCCCTTTCAGACAATCCGTGGAGCAATCGACCGGAAAGTTGGACGGCGCCAACCACTGGAGAACTGGTGCGCTGCAAGATGGGCTTTGCTGTTCTCGGCGAAAGCCGATTCTCCGACCAGGTTAGCTGCAGGTGCTGGCTATGGTCCTTTTAGAGAGGCTATCCAAACGCACGATAATGCGACGCTGGCGTTGTCTTCGTCATGCTCAACAACACCGTGGGACGACTGCCCTGTCTGCCCCAGAACATCAAAAACCGCCTAATGATCACATGGCAGTCTTTTTGGAGCCAAGTTCGCCATCATCTTCAACGTTTAAGCTCCTCATGGATCAACTCATCGAGGTGGGAGGCAGGTTTTACGGCGATCCGCTCGCTTTCCTAGCGACTGCGCCAAAAGCGGGCAAGCTGCCTACCCTTGGTGACTTCATTTCCTGCGTCGGGACTGACTACGCTGTCTGGTGGAGAGTGTTGGGTTCGCATGAAGTCTCCAGCTGTAACGACAACGGTCTTTTCCTTCGGTGGACCTACGCAGAACACCGCCTCCCCCTGGCCAACACCTTTTCCTGCCTTCCCATGCGCAAGAAGACGACCTCTATGCACCCCCGAAAAACGTCGATAGCAGCTGCTGGGTTATGGTCTCTTCCGGAAACGAGGTTGATGGGACGCGCATGTGATCAAGCTATCTGCGACGTCGACGGCTGGGCGAATCATCATCTCATCCTCTCCAGGATGAGGCTCCGGCTGCAGCCCCGCAGGAGACCACAAGGTAAGCAACTACGAGGTTAGTTAAATACTATTCTGTTGAACCCGTCTGCCGATCCCTTGCATCTTATCAATCAATTAACCCAGCATCCTGAAGAACCGCGGAGCCCAGACGGTAACGCTACCGTGTAGGATCGATGCTGTCAACTGGGGAATGTTATCCAATTTACTGTCTTGGGCGTCCTTGGACGCTCACGTTGCCATCATCAGGACTTATTCGACGACAACGATGTGGACATCCGCAGCCTTCTCGCCGAAAAGCACAGGCTGCACAAAGCCTACACTAATAATCGTACCGACGCAAACAAAGCGGCCTTCTTTCGATGTCACGCCCTGTGTAACAAAGACTGTGGGACATTTAGGAAGATGTTAGAGGAGCGCTCACTGATCGTTTTTTTACGGAACTCACTCGGCCCGTTGTGTCTTACGGGCTCTCTCTCTCGAGCCCAACCAGCAGCCGCACAGTGGCGTATGACATAGGCAGAATGTTATTACCGACAAAGACAGGGGAGACTGCAATGGCCATTTCTAGCTTATTGGCCATCGTCAGCCAGTCATACCCTTGTACATTCCCGATCGCAACCGACAGGACAACGAACCCGTGACGCAGTCGTTAGAGGCATTGGACTTCTAACTAACAATTTCAGGATCGAGCCCCAAGTGTTTCACACTTCGGGCTTGAGTGTGAGTTCCTGACGCGGGCTAATAAGCCAGACGTTGCCATTCCAGTTTGCCTTGTCTTTGTCGTTAACAACATTCTGCCTTGAGTTAGGAGGCCTGGGTGGTTCGCAAAGCTGAAGAAATCCAGGGGTATTCCGATCACAGTGAAACAAAGAACTTTTTCGAATCAATTAAGACAATTGATGCGAACGACTATAGGAGCCCCGCCAATTTTCAGCTCCGATGGAACAACATTCCTCACCGAGAAATTACAGGACTTCTAGTGTTTGGCAGAGCACTTCACAAATATCCTTAACCGTCTATCGACTGTCTCTGACGTCGATGTCCCCTGTAGAATCCAATACTGAAATGTACCGTCCACGTTCTCTCCCGGTTCTCTCCTTGTAACAGCCCCACAGTGGGAAAGCAGAGGGATTCGGTACAATCCCGCACAATGAACAAAGTCACGCTCCTATTCCCGAAGATGTTGGGGCAGCGAGAAGTCTCCCGAGATTTCAAGGGCGCGGCATCAATGACTGTAATCCAGCCTGGGAATATTCTGCAGGCAATGAGATGACATAGTGCGAAAGTAGCATGTAGTACTGAGCATAAAGTGCATAATACTATTGGGGCTGTCGGTTTGAAATGGGGATAGGAATAAAACGGGGAAGTGAGTGTAGGTTAAAGCGCCGAACCAAGCTTTCTATCGGTTTTTTAGGAAACCGCAATATCGTACCCTTGGGGTTGCCGTAGAGCTAGATATAATTTAAAAGAAATCACTAAGGCACAACTTAACCATAAGATTGCGAGAGAAAATAGGTTTATGGGTAAAATGAGGTAACGTAACGCGAAAGGGAACTGATGTTGTCGTCTGTGTCAGAGTACAGCGCAAAGTTGGGTTGCCAAAAGCAAAACCTTAATCCTAACCGTAAAACCTCAAACCGTGACTGTGCCCAAGGGGCGCTATAATAAACTTATTCTATTCTAGTCCCAACCCTTTATTTCCTCCGTCGTCAGATGCTTCCCTCACAGCCATTAATTTTGCTCCCACAAATATACATAAATTGATAAGCCACCTTACTAATTCGCACTCAGTAGGGACTGACAACATCCCGACCTCTCTTATAAAACAGCTCAGAGAATTTCCTCCTCTGCTTGGCAAACTCTTTTTAGTCTTTCTTGAAAATGGTTCCTTTCCCGACTATTGGAAAATGTCTATTATTATTCCAATATCTAAATCTGACTGTCGTTCTGTTGTTCAAAACTATCAGGGGGCCCATATTACACCTTCTGTTGCCAAAATCTTTGAAAAAATGTTGGGCATGATGATTGCTGTTTCCTGTATAGCCAGTCAAGTTATTAGCTCTTTTTAACGGGACTTTTACTCGATCGCTCTTGTGAAACGAGTCAAATGTCGTTTCTCGGTCTACTTACTTCTCTTCGTAAGGATCATTTATCTCTTGTGGCTATTTATTTTGATCTTAGTAAAGCCCTTGACAAAGTGCCACACAGAAGACTCCTAGTTAAATGAGAAGCCCTGGGTCTTCGCAGTACTCTTATTGGCCTTATTAAGTCATACTTATCTAACTTACTCGATCAAACTTTTATTTTCCTCATCCACTCCGGTCAACTTTCTCTATGACGTTGAAAAAGGACCATTGGGGGTTTGGGACGCCGCCAACAAATAACCATATCCGCTCCTATTTCCTTATTTGTGTATGGTTTCGTTTTCTACAAGCTCTCACAATAAATTTCGATTTTTTCGATTTTTCAGTCCATGCGTCGCGTCCTTCACAGGACGCGATGTACTCTCTGAAAACCCCTCTCATAAAATTAGCGGGCCACTTTGGCCTGCACGCTATAAACCACCTTCATTTCGCTAATCGCCGACCCCCAACAGGAATCCAGCTTGGTTTCTGAGACTTAGAGTTCTTACCCCTTATCGATTATTTTCGCATTTCTTCATGCCAACTCATTTCAACCTTAAGCGGTCTGTTGACGACCATGGCGAAATCCTCTGTTTTCATCATCTGCTATTAGTTTGGTCGGCAGGCAAAGAGGTCTCACGGTCGCAGCTCCCCTCGAAGCTATCTTGACCGCCTCAGACTGTAATGTCCTCTCCCCAGCTGGACTCTATGCGGATCGTGACCGATCGCGTCTAGCTTCCTCTCATCTCGCCACTTTGACGCGGACAGCCTCATCCGGTTTAGGAATTCTGTCTTGACGGTGTCCGTTTCGAATCCCTTATGTACTACCATATCCAGGCCAGTCCTGTCTGACTCACATGTCTACCCTTTCATAAACGACAGTTTTATTCTCACAAATCACATTCATTCTGTCTTTTTGAAATAAGGAATTTTTTCTCCGCTCTCTGACCACTTTTATAGGCATGGAATAAATACTGTCGAGAGTCTGCCTACTTGTTTAAAAATTCATTTGAAAATTTCTTTTCATTGCTACAATGGTACCCCCAGGGGTACTTGTTTATCAAGTTTGTTCAAATCCTGAATCATAACCCTAGACCCGACCTCATCACTCTGACCTTAACCTAAAAACGCATATCCAAACCTCACCCCTAACACTTGTGCCCAGCTAGCCTACCCCTCAACATTACTATTTGTTCTTGACCACTAGTCTTGGTGCTGAATTAGTTTGAACGTTAGCTTAAAAATAGTTTAGGCGGCGTTATGCATTGAAGCTGTCCCACAAAAAGACTTCAAAAGGCAAATCATCTTGTCCGGTTAGCGCGGGATAAAAAGTCAGAAATAAACGAAAAGACAAACATCGGCAATGGTGTTAACAAAAAGACAACCAGCAACATAAGCTCTAGGAAATGAGTACCAACATCCACACTAAATTCGTGGACCCGACAATGGCCTCCGACACGATGAATCGCGATTGGCTCGGGAATTGGGTTGTCCTAAAGGGCTCACGCGCGCGCTGCATCATCTCCATGACCCGATGATGACACGCGTCACGGACAATGAGACAGTCTCAAATGCATTCGCAATAACTAGTACAGCGAAGTAGGGCTGCGTACTCGCCCCCGTCCCCTATAATATCCTGTGCTCTGTCATACCGCTGGACGCCAGCCGCGATGAGCGTCCTGAAATCAAAATCATCTGCAGGACCAACGGTCGGATTCGTAACACCCGACGAATACAAACGTCCACGCGGACTTAAGCAATCATTGTCCATGAACCCCCCTTTGCGGACGACTGTACACTCAATGCATGACGGAAGCATCCGTGCGAGAAAGCATGCGCCGTCTTGCCTCCGACTGCCGTACATTTCGGACTAACCACCAACACGGAAGAAACGTTGGTCATGCACCAACCAGTACCATAGGAAGAGCACACAACGCCGAGTATCAGCATGAACGGAACAGGACTCGCATTCCTGGACAAGTCTGCCTACCTAGGCAGCACCATCCCAAGCAACACCAGGACAGACGACGAACACGCTGCAAGTGTTCAGTCGCAACAGCAATCATCCGACCGTCCAACCATCCATTCCGACGATATTCACCGTGTGCTACACGGCAAGGCAAATCAGGCACGGCGACTTGCGCGTGAATTAGTTTATGGTGATAGTCGATCCGTGCAGCATCCACCACACTCACTCTTTCCCACTCTTACCCCGACCCGGTGTCAGGACAGAATCAAGAAGACCGGAGGCGGGGAGGGCGCAGGTGGCTAGCGCAGCCGGACGCGCACCTAGATATGCCACCACACCCACAGCTCCAGAACATACATTTGACCAGGATTTTTCATTAACAACGACAACACAAAAGCACCAAGAAGAACAACAGGGGTCAGAAGGACGAGGATGATGACTGGACAGCCGTGCTCACCGCCTGCATACCCAGCAGGAACGCAAGCGCATCTATCGGCAGGGAACTCGGCGTCAGGGAGTTGCCAACGCATACCAGGCTGCGAGGGTCATGGTTTGCTGATACTGACATAGCACACGCTTTCAGACATTTTTACTTGGAAGGGCGACGCCTGGCCCCGCATTTAGCCAGGGTCGTCGACCTTCAAGATTGGGTAACCAAACAATCGTCGACCGAGAGGCACTACTCACACACAAACACCGCAGTAGCAGGCGGTTGTGTATCGCAAATTTTAGTGAACGCACACGTGCATTAACAGACCCATGCGGTGAATAAATGTGCGAGTGCAATTTGGACAGTAGAGGCGTATGCGGCGAGTGTAGGTTGGTGTTCCAGGCACTGTTTCGCCAGTCTCCGTGCGATGGAATCGTAAGCCGCCAACCAGGCCGACGCGCGAGGTGAATGTATGGGGGCAGTGTGGACATAGTCAGTCGGCGGTGTCAGTAACAGCTTCGGGGGTCGAGATGTTGGTGGCGGAAGCGCTGGTCGACTGGGTATGGGTTGGGATGAGCAAGGTGGTGTGCAAAATGTACTGAGTATGATGGAGCTGGCGGCGGTGGGCGTGCTGGATGGCGTAGTCTGGACGGGCCTAGGCATGATGGGTGTGACCGAATAGGCCAGACATCTCCATATAATATTCGTTTGAATAGCCTCTCGTCAAGTCGCTCATCCGCACCAGGCGACCGCTCCAACGCAGTTACAGTTGTCTTGGCATGGCGTATATGCTGAGGATTTCCATCCGCTCCAGTACGTTCGTAATAGGAATTCAGGCCTGCCACCTCAGCTTCAATATCCGTTAAAGACAGCTGGGGTGGTATTGGTTGATACTTCGAGCCTGCTACTTGTACGCCATCTAGGTCTCTGCTCCATATATCTGCGCCACAGGACGACTGCTTTTTACATCTTCGATTTGGCGCTGATGTGAAGACCGTCTCAATGTTAAACTGTGTTTTTCCAGTGGCCGAACTTTTGGATGGCTTGGGTAATCCGACGGACCACCTCATTGTCGCCTTTGATGATGCGAGAGGGAGTGCCGCATAGGCAGGTACAGTTATCCACGACTTGCAGCTGGGCTTCGTTGTACGCAGCCTCGGATGGCGGATGAAGTACAACCACTGTCTTCTCCGCGTTGATAACCAGGCCGAAATTGTTACAGGCGGCATCGAAGAGGTCCATGCTTCGTTGCATGTCCCCTCCGGAGGTGGACTTGGGGAACCAGTCGTCGGCGAAGAGAAGTAGCTGTGGAAACACGCGACTGGAAGTGCATTCTCCAGTGGTTGAGGGCATGGCCATCCGTCCTGTAGGCGGTGCGGATCCCCGGACATTCGTCACGGTACGAATCCACCAGCATGGCAGAGAACATGAGAATGAGGAGGATAGGTGTGGGGGCGCAGCCCTGCTTCACTCCGTTGGTCACTGCAAATGCCTCTGGGACAGTTCTATTGTCCGTGGCGCGGTCCATCATGCCAGCGTTAACTGACGGACTATCTGTGTGAATCGTTCGAAAAAGCCGAATTTCCGCACGATTTTCAACAGTCCTTCGAGATTCACTGTTTCAGAGACTTTTGTCAGATCCACAAAGGTAGAGCACACGTGGGTCCATGTCTTCTGGCACTTCTCTTGTAGCTGATGGTTTGCAAAAGTCATCAGTGGTTGAGCGATGTCGCCGGAGTCCACGTTGTCTTATCGGCAGAGGTCCTTGCTCCAGGTGTCCGTTGAGACGTTTGAAAAGGATGCAAGCGGAGAGCCTCGCGGCGATGTTGAGTACGAGATGCACTTGTGATTGTCACAGAGTTGACGGTTCCTTTTCCGCTTGTAGAGATGGACGACGGTGGCGTCCTTGAAATCCTAAGGGATTCCTCCTTGACGCCACTTCTCCTGAAAGGGCGTTGTCAGATGATCCACAAGTTGTGGGCACCGTGTTTGTAGAGTTCATTAGGTATCGCGCACGCTCCGGGCGCTTTCCCGCTGGGGAGCTGATGCACGACCCTGATGGTTTTGTGGAGAAAGGACGCAGGTCGAGGTCGGCTTTGGTCTCTATTTGAGGCAGACAGGCGACGGCGGCGTCGGAGATGGTGGAAAGATGGTAGAGGACTCCTCTGAGGTGCTTGGCCCATCGCTGAAGAATTTGTGTCTTCCCGGTGAGTAGGGTATTTCCGTCGGCGCTGAGAAGAGGGGCAGTTGCTTTGGTTGGCGGACCGTAGACAGCCTCGATCGCAGAGAAGAAATTCTCCCATTCGCTGCGATCCGCGTAACCTTCGACCACCTCAGGCTTGTGAGCCATCCGGGAGTCCTGCATCTCCTGCAGCCGCTGTTTCAGGAGACGGCGACTACGATAGAAGGCTGATTTGATATGGCCGGTTGGGTGATTGATGTAGGCTTCGTGCAGGCGGTTCTCAAGGAGAAGGTTGCTGATGGGGACTTCGTTGTCATTTAACCAGTCCTGATGTTGGCGCCAAGTGCGACCGAGGACAGCCAGGGCGGTTGACTGGACCGTGTCCCGGAGTTGGCACCATCGGTTCTCCACGAAGGCATTTTCGTCGGGGAAGGCGGCGGCGACTTGACGGTTGGCTAGCCGTTGTGCCATTCCGTTGTCGAAATGGCGATGGCGAGCAGGAAAAGACAACAAATCAATATTCAGCTCACCTGGGGCTCGCTTACCTTAAGGTCTCTTGCGTGGCTGTAGGCGAATCCGCATCTTGGAGACGATGAGAGGATGGTCAGCCCAGCCGTCGACATCTGAAATCGGCTTTTTCACCAGCACGTCCTACTGGTCTTCATTCCGGGCGGGGACATAGTCCATCTGGTACCAGAGTCGCTACCGAGAGTGCATCCGGGTGGCCTTCTCACGCATCGGGAGGCGGAAGTAAGTGTTAGTCAGGATGAGCCGGTGTTCTGCGCAGGGATGAGGTCACTTGAATTAGGATTGTCGAGACCATGCTTACTCAGAACTCCTCTCCAGGAAGCATATTTTGTGCCTAAGCGGGTGTCGAAGTCACCAAGGGCTATCCCCCCATTTGCCTTTGCACAGTCAGCAGGAATGCGTTGGGGTTCTCGTATAATTTGTTCCCCGTCTCGTAAGGGCTGCTCATCAAGGGAGCATAGACGCTAACGATGGTGGGGAATTTTCCGTCCCGGAGATGCAAGCGGAGGCTTATCAGGCTTTCGTTGATGCCCAGTCTACACCTGCAAGCAAGCGAACGACCTACTACGTTTGACGCGTGGACCCACAACTGGACACCCCATACACCCCGGCGACCAATCACTGCATTACAAACGAAGCTGTGTACGCACTCCATATCGACGGGTGGAGACTTATTTCAGCAGGCCAGCCACCCAAATGAACGAGTTGAAGCTCCTCCAGGAGCTTTTCAGAGCCAACGGTTATCATCGAACATTCGTTGAAAGGTGTCGAAGGCAACAAAGTACGCGGAATGAAGAGCATAGTCAGCCAAAAGCATGGCGAAACATGTTATGCCTTACTATTATTATTATTATTATTAAAAAGGATCTCCGAAGACATGGCTATATCCCTCGGGCCGCTCGAAATAGTCATTGCCCACAGGTACGACCCAACAATCCGCCGTCAAGTGATACAGCAAAAAGACCCTATATTTAAACGGGAGACTTCAGTCTTTGTCAACCGATTTTAATGCACTGCGGGAAGTGCAACTACGTTGGGGAAACTGGCCGACGTTTGCAAACGCGAAAGCACAAACAGAGGATGGACACAAAGTCTGAGGTGGCGAACCATGCCGCCCAAATGGAACACATCCTCAAATTTGAAGACGTCGGCATCGTGAGCCAGGGCAGTCATCAAACAACAAAGCAGATGCAATAAGTCTGGATATACAGCGACTGCTCTGTCAACTATCCATTAATTTACCTCCCCCCCCTATTTGACTCTACAAATCTTCTTAACTGGGGACAGTCACGACGCGGGACAGTCGTGGCCGTCAACTATCTCCATGGCCAACGAGGGCGAGGACTATTTAGATCCCGTTGACATACCTGTCGGATGCTGTCACACAGGCAGCATTGGCGGGCCACGCATTAAACAAAGTGCGTCATATACGGAGTGCTGTGCGCATGACTTCCCAGTCTCTGAAGATGAATAGCCGAAGCAATTACCTCAAACGACAGACCGCTATTAAACCCATTCCGGTGGAAGTCCCTTATTCTTTTAATACGTCGCGTAGAAATCGCATTTCTATTACTACAAATTTCCGCATTAATACATCAAGGCATTGTTTAAGTTGATAGCATTTTTAAAGCTCGTTTGGTGCCAGGGCTGTGGCGGGAAACGTCGTGTCTAGCTGACAGATGGGTATACTGGCTAGGTTTGGTTGATTTGTCTTACCCGAATCCTCTTCAGGAAATTTTGCTTCATTCTTCTCTTTCTGCATTTATTTTTCTGCTCTGCATCGCGCTCCCATTCAAATGGCACTCGATTTGGTCTACCTGACCGGCGCCGCTTCATTCATAGGTATGGACAATGTTCAAGTTCATTTTTAGGAGACACGAGGGTCTACGCCAGCTGTTCCGAACAGATGTTAGAAATTGGCCCGAAGTTCTCCTAAGGGATAAAACGCGGCACGTAGGTAGCATTGCACTTAATCATGTTAGAAGCGTACGTATACGTACGTTTAATTAAATGTGCAAATCTCTGTATACAAATTTGTATACAGAGCTTAAGCTTAAACTTTGTGGTTTATTAATTTCCGGAAAATATTACCTACACACTGTTGAATGTGCACCTTGTTCAACCAACTGTTATTACGCGTTTGAAGCCTTGGAAGCTAAGTTCAAACCGCATTGCCCAGAAGAAACTAACTTCAACGCCCTTTCGAGTCTGTTAATATTGTCAAAGGTCCTGGTTTGATATGGACTGCTAGAATGGCTAGATAGACCCTGATAGAATGCATTAATCGAGCCTTCGCAAAAATAACGTTTTAGGGCGTCGAGTATTCGAGTTCAACTGTCCTCGACTTGCTGCAATGCTTTGTCCACTTCCGAATCTTGCCCCCAGCGCACGGACCACTTACAAATGCTCTCAAGGAGCACGTATGCCTAGGGGGTATAGAAAGTCCGGTATTTCAGACGAGCGCTTCCGTACATCACGAAATGGACGAATATGCGATCGTCGAACTCGGCTAAAAGCTCATTTCAGGGTCACCTTTAAGCTGTCATCTCGATATCTAATAAGATAGGTCACTGAGATTAGCGGACGATGTATTTTAGTAGCATTTAGAGACGGTCGAACGTTCTATATCTATACGAGAAGGTGGTTGCTTGTGTAGATGTAGAGGTACAAATACGCCATTACGTCTTAAATTTATAAAGGGCTACTCCACCCGCAAGTTCATTGCTAAATTTTGTGTAAAATCCCGTCTTTAATCTAGGAGTTACATTCTCATTCTTTTCCATTGGCGCACTTGTTTGGTTCTTGTGGTCTAATTCAGGGTCCCCTTAAAATAGAACTTATCTGAATATGATTTATATCCCGTTTTTCAGAATATCATACCTTAAACTGTCTCTTGAGACTAGGTTTCCGCCGTTTTTCTTGCCAGTAATTGTCAAATTTTTGTAAATACTGGGCGTGTAACAGCTCTGATTTATTCCTTCCGAAGATGCTGCCTAAGCAAGGGGGAAGATTAGGCACATAAATGGCCTTCAGTGAATTTCCCCAAATTCATATGCCGTTCTGTTATCAGGATAGTACGGAAGTTTTATTTTCGGTTATGCAACAGACTTGACACAAAATAATTCCGTACTTGTGCACGTAAACCTGACCAGGAACAAAACCTCCCTATATAAGTGCGTGGGAGTCCCGGAACCCATGTCATTAGCTTAACGAACGACGTCAAGCCAGATTTTGAGCTGGCCTGGTCTCTGGCTCCTTAAGTCCAGTACCCGCGGTAAATATACGATAATAACACTGAACTCATGGGTCGGCTGACAAATTGAGCATCAAAATGAGCTCTCAATTTTCACTCGGGTTTTGCGAAATCATTCATTCGATACTAGATATGTCTGCCTCACTCGAACACACATTTCAGATGACAGTGGTTGGAATTATTCAATTTTTGCTCGTGTTCTACCCCTATAACGTATATGTGGACAAATTTTGGGCTCGCGCGGGTCTTAGTGACAATTGCGATATCGTTAGAAGTCAGTAAACCTTAGAATAATCTGTTAGGGTCACGATATCGTCTTCACCTACATCCGTCTGACGAAAACTAGGCTCTGAGATACTTAAAAATATTAGAAACGAAGATTCAAATTTTATCCTTGTGGCAAAGAGAAAGGTAAGTCGATCGTTGAAGCCGTCACTATTTTCGTCCTTTCTAATTTCTCCTGAACTCAATGCGAGACTTTGAAATGAACCCTTTGGAACAAGGCGTTTTGAAGCTCGCTCGGAGCTTGACACTAATATTGGATCTCAAATCCGTTAGTTGCTGCGAAAAAACCGCGCAATACTAACAAGCTGCCAACAGACACCCAGCGTTACCATTTTCTCTAAAAACCCGTCGAGGATATTAGAATTCGGTAATCTTGTATCCCAGTTCACTGCAATTTGTCTCGACACGCCGATATAGTGTCCTTAAGCAACTGCATTTGTGGCTGATCGGGTGGTTGCTTTTGAAGTTCAGTATTTGCGTCTTGTTCGTCGCTTTCCTGAACACTTTGCTCTAGGCCACAAAATTCTGTCGAGCGATCCCGTACATCAAGGACGTCTCCGAGGCCGTCAGTCGCACTCTCGCACCACTTGAAGTTGGAGTTGCACACAGACCGGAGGCAACCATCAGGTGTCAGAGGATGAGACCAAAAGACCCATTGCCACGGCAAGAAACATCTGGAATCGTTTGCCGGATCTGGTGTAGTTGCGGGCAAAGCAACTACGTCGAAAAAACTGTAAGACAGTTCCGGACGCGAATAGCCGTACACGCGGCAGCGGTACAAAGAAATGACGCCAATTATCAAGTCGCGGCCTATTCGACGAGACCCAGCCACACATTCAAGTTCGATGAGGCCGAAATTCACGCGAGAGGTGATAATCACGTGAGCCGCGAGTTGCTTGAGTCATGGTCCACAAGACCCCAGTCTATCAACAAGTGCAACGGCATCCCCACTCCACATTCGGTGCTGAGGCAGTCTGGCCAAAGCAATTAACTACTTGGGCAGCGCGCAGGCCGGTGAGCCAGATGACCGAACAATCATCACGCCAGCATTCAACAGGGGTGATGAGACCTAAGCCATTGGCAACTTGCATGCCGGCCATCAAGCAACTAGCGCACCGGCGGTCAACAATTCTCGATGAAGGAGAGGATGGTTAATTATCATAAGTATGCAGTAGCATAGCAACTGCATCCTATACGGCAAGTTCCTGTGCACAAATCACTCGTATCTGTCACTGTCTCTGATGATGGATTCGAGCGACAATCCGAAATGGCAGGCAAACAAAGCTTTGGTTCCAGCGATCAATGTTTAGTATGTTTTCTGAATCATTTGAGTCGCCTTGCGCAAAATATCAGACTGCAGCAACTTCTGGCACGCTTGGTACGCTCTGTAATGTAGAGATTTTTA